TTCAGTGCAGAGCCCGACACCACAACCGCCGGACGCGGTTGTGCAAATGCGCTTGTGCGGCCTCAGAGGTGCGATTGGAGGCCGGGTGCCACAAGGCGCCTGCGCCACGGGCTTAGCTCCCTTTTTTATTTTGTTGGGGGGGGGTAGGGACCCAAAAGCAAACAGACTACCCGCCCGCACCGCCCCCGCCTCTGGTTGAGGGAGGCGCACCGCTGGGAGGTCTGCCGTTGCTGCCTTTTTATTCTTTCCGTCTGTTCTGTCTCCGCTGCCCTCTATTTGTTTCCTTCTTTCTTTTACTTCGCCCTCCCCACCGCCTCGCATCCCAGCGACTCTACTGCCACCACTACTACTGCGGCGGATGGCGACGACGCTGGCGGTGCGGCGCCGTGCGGTGTGCGCCCTGGCGCTCCTCGCCCTGCTCTGCGCCTACGGCTGCCACTCCGTCTGCGGGGCGGATGCGGAGGAGGAGGCTGCGTCTAAAAAAAAAGTGAATGTGTCGGTGGAGGTGTCGTGCCCGAACGCTGAGAAAAAGTTGCGTTGGCGCGTTGCTGATAAGAGTAATTCGGACTGGAAGGAGTGTCCGCAGGCAGTGAAGGGTGCGGAGGGCATTGAAGGCGCTGCTTACAGTAACACTCTCTGCCTCATTGCCGGTTCGGCGTACATGGAGAAGTCCTCGAATGCGAACTGCCCTGCACCCCAGCCAGATGGGAGCACATACACTGTTGTGTTCACGATGAACTGTACGGCGGCTGAAAACAGTGTGCTGCACAATCTGTCGAAGAGCGAAGGTGGCACCATCACCATCAGTGAAACGGGGGATCTACTGGGCGAGACCGGAGAGTGTGAGTACCCAACCTCCAGCCCACCCGCGGCTGAAGTGCAGTCTGGACCCCAACCTACCGGAAAACAGCAACCAGCAGACCCACCACAACAACAACCGGCAGGTGCAGCAGCAGCGTCACCTTCGGCGGAAACTCATGACGGAGCCCGTGCGGGGAATGGGGGCTCCACTGCTGCTGGGGAGCAGCCAGGCAGTGCGGAGGGAGGCGGAAGTCGGGAATCGTCGGCAGAAGTTTCTCGGGAAACTACAACGCCGTCGGTTGGCACTGCGGCTTTGCCAACACAGACGGCAGGCAGGGCAGCAGATGGAACGACGACGACGACCACCCGCGGCCCGAGGGCTGGGAGGCACGCGGACAGCAGTGTCGCCATCGCCGCTGCGTGGATGCGTGCACCTTTGCTGCTGTTGCTGCTGATCACGGCCGCCTTTGCTTGT